CCGCAAAAGCACTTTTTGCGGAAAAGCGTCCGTGCCAATCTAGACGCAGTTTTGCGCAAGAAAGCCCCGATCGCCATTTTCGCCATCAGTACTCTTTTGCGCAAAACAGTTTTTAGCTGTCTACACTGGCCCTCTTGCTGCTGCTATCAGTAAGAGGCAGCAAGGGCGGGGGGAAGAGAAAGGGGTGCTGAGGGAGCCGCTTAAAAGACAGTTCCTTCCAGATCCAGCTCCGTGGGGGGGGGGGAAGGGGTGCAGTGGTAGCGTTCCCCCTTTGAAATGTACAAGAGTCCCTGCTGGGGATCTTGTACATTTCAAAGCAGAAGTGCTGCTTGGAGCCAGCTGGGGACTTCCTGCTTGCCCCTGGCTCCATGCTGCATTCCAATCTTTGAAATGCACAAAGGCTCTTGGACATTTCAAGGGCAGAATGCTGCACAGCACGTCTGCCTTTGAAATGTAGCAACAGCCAGGTGGGCTCTTGCTGCATTTCAAAGCGGAAGTGCCCTTACTGACTAATCAAATAGTCAATGGAAATTCCATCGACTATTTGATTAGTTGATTAATTTTAACATCCCTAATCCAGGCCCATTCAAAATCTGACTCCTTGTAGTGGAGCCACCATCCCATTTCAGTCAGGATGTAGGAAATTTGGGTTCAGTGCCCTCCTCTTGTCTGATGGGGAGAGACACCCCTTTTTTATTCTTTCACTGACCTTTTAGGATAGTAGCTTAATCCTGGTGATGTGGTCCTCCCTTTCTTTTCTGTTCAAGCCATTATTCAGATGCTTAAAGTTAGGCATATATATATAAGTACCTTGCTGAATTAGGGTCTCAGTGCATATAACCTTACACAATATCCAACCTGTAAAATATGGATATTATCAGCTCTTAGACTTCCAATTATGTGCACAGAGAAGAGGAAGCTTTTTTTTTCCAGCACAGGACTATAAATTAAGTGTTTTGGGTCCTGCTGTGTTACATACCAGTTCCACCACAGACTTCCAAAAGGCAAATGACTTTGGCCTGATTTTGCAAACCTGAAGTGGAAAATGCTCATATAGGAGTTGCAAGGAGCCGAAGCAATATCATATCATATTGCTAATCTGATCAACCAGAAATAAACATCATAATTCAAATAATAAATGTAAAATTCTATGCTAAGAATATGCTTTGTAATCAATTCATGTTTTTTAAAGTACCACAATTTTTGAATGATTTCAAATAATGAATAAACGGGAGAAAATCTGAATCTTTAAAAAATATTCTGTAATTAAAACACACATTTAAGTTTCCTTTCTAATTAATAGTTTATCTTTCACCCAAGTCTAATAAAAATGCCTTTCCATTAAATTCAGATTATTTTCTTTTTGTGTTCTAGGTAATTTCTTACTAATAAAAGATTCTGCCTATATGAATTGCTTCAGGAAGAGAGATACTCTTTGTACGTTTACTAAGGAGAAACAGTTTTATGCATTCACCTACATCCATTGATGACTATGGCTCCAGTCTAGCAATTGAATTCACACAAGCAGATCTTTGTACTACACAGAACATGGGATATTACATTTCGATTAATCAGCTAATCGAGTAGTTGATGGAATTTCCATAGACTACTCGATTAGTCGATAAGGGGTGGTCGCTATCCCGCTGCGCCTCTCTCTTTGAAATGTGCATGAGCTGCCTGCATTGAATTTCAAAGGATGAGGTGCAGCAGGGAACCCATGGAGGAACAAAGCAGTCCCTGCTCACGTAGGGTCCCAACTGCTGTGCCTCTTCCTTTGAAATACATTCCCACGGAGATGGTGCTGGGAGGAGTTGGCTTTTAAGCTGGCTCCCCCAGCATCGGCTTCTGCTCTTCCCCCGTTGGTGCCTTTGATACAGAGGCAGCAAGTGGCAGGGAGAACACCTATTCAAGTAGTTACTCAACTACCCGATAAGCCTAGATCTAGCACAGGAGCTGACAACCTACAACACGCATGCCACAGGTGGCACGCAAGTGGATTTTCATTGGCTTGTGTGGCAGGAGCTGAGCTCTGCCCCTCCTCCCCCATGCAACCGGGAGCCTGTGCCAGTGTTCCCTTAACGTGTGCGCCTATCCTGCAATGCACAAAAAATCTACTATAAGGCCCGCCCACTTCCTCAGCAACATTCACTTTCTTTCTGCTCCTGGACAGTGAGTGTCATGGCTGCACCCACTGTCGGGGATGGGGAGGTGTCGGGGAGGGGGGGGACGGTTGGGTTGAGGACTAGGGGGGGTTGAAGCCACGGGTGGGCTGGGTAGGCGGGGGGGG